AGTCACTATTCATGGATGTGTTTAAAAACTGTTTGGATGTGGTGGTACTCAGGAACATGATTTAGCAGAGAGTTGTTAGAGTTAGGGTACCATGGTTAGGTTGTGGTTGGACTTGATGATCTTTAAAGTCCTTTCCAACCTGAGCAATTCTGCGATTCTTCTTTGAAAATCAATTGCTTGTACCGTTGCTATTGGTGTTTTGCTGCACTTTGTAAATACTATAAAGGTCCTGAAATCCTAGCTGTGTCCACAGCTGCTTAATACTGCTTCTGTTTCCAAGTGATGTAGTGGGAATGCTGTGTTTTATCTTGCTGCTTAAAATCTGTCTGCTGGATTCTTTGTCACAATTAGTTTCTAGTTTCAAGAAGATGTGTTTGGTTACCTATGGATTCTCTGACCGATTGTTTTTCTTCAGGTGCTTGATTTTCCTATGGATGTTAGCTTGGGTCTTTCACAAAAAGTTTATAACAAGATCTTTGAATAGATGTAGTAGAAGGAATTGGGTCAACATTCATATTTCAGTGAAAAATTGGCTGCACTGTGAGGAATTTAACAAGTAAGCAAATGTATCAAATTTCTTAAAGTTCTCAAAAAAAAAAAAATTGTAAGGCCAGTTGTATCTGATAGATCTGTTATATTATGACTATCGCCTCAAGGAGGATCTGTACACAGAAAGATGTGGAGTTGCTTGCGAAAGAAAGGGAGCTGAAAGAAGCTCTAGCAAAAAAGGGAGCTGAAGGAACTTCTAGCGAAAGGAAGAGCTGAAAGAAGCTCTGGTGCATGAAAGAGCTGAAAGAAGCTCTAGAAAGACATCTGAAAGAAGATCTGGCGCCCGAAAGAGAGCTGAAAGAAGCAGTGGAGAGTGAGCTGAAAGAAGCTCTGGCGCACGAAAGAGCTGAAATAAGCTCTAGAAAGTGAGCTGAAAGAAGCTGTGGCGCCCGAAAGAGAGCTGAAAGAAGCTGTGGCGCCAGAAGGAGAGCTGAAAGAAGCTGTGGCGCCCGAAAGAGAGCTGAAAGAAGCTGTGGAGCCCGAAAGAGAGCTGAAAGAAGCTCTGGCGCCCGAAGGAGAGCAGAAAGAAGCTGTGGCGCCCAAAAAAGATCTGAAAGAAGCTCTGGCGCCCGAAGGAGAGCAGAAAGAAGCTCTGGCGCCCGAAGGAGAGCTGAAAGCAGCTCTGGCGCCTGAACGAGAGCTGAAAGAAGCTCTGGCGCCCGAAAGGGAGCTGAAAGAAGCTCTAGAAAGAGAGCTGAAAGAAGCTCTGGCGCCCGAAAGAGAGCTGAAAGAAGCTCTGGCGCACGAAAGAGCTGAAGAAGCTCTAGAGAGAGAGCTGAAAGAAGCTCTAGTGCAAGAAAGAGCTGAAGGAAGCTCCAGCGAACGAGAGCTGAAAGAAGCTCTGGCGCAAGAAAGAACTGAAAGAAGGTCTAGAAAGGGAGCTGAAAGAAGCTCTTGCGAAAGAAAGATCTGAAAGAAGCTCTAGAAATAAAGGAGCTGAAAGAAGCTCTAGTGAAAAAAGGGAGCTGAAAGAAGCTCCAGTGAATGAAAGAGCTGAAAGAAGCTTTATCAAAATTGAGAGCTGAAAGTATAATCTAGCGAAAAAGGGAGCTGAAGGAGGCTCCAGCAGAATGGGAGCTGGACAAAGGCCTGTGCAGAAATGGGCTGAAAGAGGCCCTATTCTGCTGAAAGTAGCGGAAGACTGAGGGAAGTCTTACCGTCCTCAGCTGATTTCCCTTCTCTGGACAAAGCTCGGGATTGAAAGTGGGAACGCTGACTGTTATGAGGTGCTGCTTGCTCTAAAGAATTCTAGTTGGAAGGAATTTGTACAACAAAAGGTGCTGGAGTGGATGCTATTGGACCTCAGCAACTGGAAGCAAAACTTGCAGACCCTGGGCCTATGGCTCATTCACCACCACGAGAGAAGGAGAGTCAAACCTCCAGCCTTAGTGCTCACCTGCATGTAGGAGCTGTTCCCGTTGTTGCAGTGTATTTTTCTGAACCTTTCAACTGTTGTAGCTGTTGTTCAGTGCTCCAGAAAATTCTAAGGTAGGCCTAAGAACATTGAAAGCGTGTTTGAAAGTTGTGCTATATCTGTGTTCTAAATTAGAAAACAGTATTTGCTACGCATCATTTGTGTACATGCACAATCGTGTAGATTGGCAGTGTAGGAAGCTTTCTCAGATTTGGTTGTAGAATCCAACTCGTTTGGCTGAATATCTTTTGGTGTTTAAGAATGAAATGTGTGTATTTACAACTGTATGTCTTAACTGCACCTGCCTGGCTTTCATAATTCTAGTTCTGAATATGTAATGTAGAGATTTAAAAAATAATAATAGATTTCTCTACAAAATAACACATACACACACATGCACACACACAAAAACAAAAACAAAAACCTCAACCAACCAACCAACCAAAAAACAGACAAACAAACAAAAAAAAAAAAAAGGGGAGTGCAGATATGACCCCTCAGGAAAGAGTAGCATGCTTTGTTCTTAATTTTCTAAATTGTTAGACAGTGATAACGTGGGGCCGAGGCTATGCTTTGTCTTAACAGGAACAGGTCCGAGATGGATACCAGCCGAATGGGTCTTGCCATCTGTTTCATCGTCTGCTGTAACATCATCACAGCACTTTCATCAGTGGTTTGGATTTTCACCAACAAGATGGGACAAGACACACTTGTCAACTGCATCACCAAGGAGTCGTAAGAATTGGAATTGTTGGGATTGGTTAAAATGGACTATTGTTTGTACTCTATAAAGAACCATCATTTATTCAGTGTGTTAATTTTAGTTTAGCTACTTTTAGGAATGTTTTTGAACTGCGCTTCTTTTTTTATTAATAAAGGGGGAGACGTGGAACAAAGAAAGTCATTATCTGCTAATGAGTAAAAAAGCTCAGCAGTAACTTGAGCCATATGTAAACATGCCTGGCTCCTACATATGACCACTTGTTGTTGCATGCGTATAAAAGGTTGTAAGCACCTACAATAAAGGTTCTTCATTCTGCACCAGCAAGGAAGTCTGCATCTCACTTGCCACACGCATAAGGGAGCTCAGAGCTCTCTTGCCACAGTTAAGCTTCTGTTAGCAAAAGTTATAGTTGATAGTGAAATACTTCCAGCTTAAAAAAAAATAATAATAAAAGGAACTTCAAATGTTGTGAAGGTGAATGTCAGTAATAATACTAAGGATGTTCCAGTCTTTTAGAAGACAGATCTTGTCATTGCAAAGCCATTAGTATCTATAAAGAATTCAAGTGAAGAATATGCTGATGTGTTATTTTGTAGAACTGGCTTTCCGAAGTGTAATGCTTTGTAGAGTTAAGTAGCCATATCTATGGCAGAAATACTGCTTTCAGTAGTATTTCATCAGAACAATTTGAGGTTCGTACCTTGCATGCAAATAATGAATCACCTCCGTATTTCTGGAAGTGCAACAGAAAAAAAATGATTGTATTGTGAAATTCTTAATGTTCTGTTAAGATGATTGAACCAAACTATGTATATTTCTGTTTTTTGTTGTCCTTGAATTTAAACATGGTGAAGGACTCAGAAGTTCAGGGCATAGTCTCTTTTCTTCTATTACTGTCTGTCAGATTTATGATGTGATAGAAGGAGCAGGGACTCTGCAAACTGATCTTTTACAGTCTGCACCAGGTATTCATTAGAGAGAAACAAAGGTTTAAATTGGATTTGCCAATAGGTGAAGAACTGTATTTCTTATGATACAGCACTGAGGAATCTTGTCTTTCTGATAAAATAAGTTTATTAAATTGAACTTTCAGAGCTGCTGAAGCACGTTTCTGTGCCATACCATTCAGGCATTGCCTACCGCATGGCTTTCATACCCTAACACTGTGTCTGTCACACCCTTGTCTTGAGTGGAAAGGTTAATTAATTAAAATATCACATCAATTAGTAAAATCTTAGAAATATCCCAGTTCGTTTCCAATTTGACCGCTTTGTAAATTGCTCGGGGGAGCTCATCTTTGCACTGATGGTTTCCTTTAAAAGTCCTCCCGGGTCATCACTGATGTGAAGGGTACCTTGGAGGGTCTGCTGCAGACTGAGCCAAAAATGCTCAGTAACTGGCAGGGAATGAATGCAATTGCAGTAAAGAAAAGTAGGCTTGTACCTTTGCAGCAATGCCTCAGTACTCACCTTGCTTGATCAAGCAACTTTTTTATTTCAGTGTACTTTGGAGCTGTCTTTTCAAGAATGTTTTTTGGTTCAGGGCTAAGTAAAACCAATAGCATAATGAATGGTGACATGGAGTGTATAGTAAGGTGTCATTATGTCATAGTTATGTAGTCTGTCACTATACTTTTAACTTCTTTATGTAGTAGAAAATAAGGTGTCATTATGTTACTGTGTATCCCTGTAATACGTGTGACAATTTGAATTGATATTAAATGTTTGCAGTTACCATCAGTGTATAAACGATACATACTTGTGTGTATGGAACTTTTTAATAAAGAAATGCCCTTGTGTTGGAAACTGTCAGCTTTTCCTTTACATAACGCAGTCAATCTTTGTGGTTCATGAATGTGTAATTACCAGTGTACGGGGAGAAAATTTACAGAATTTTGCACTCCAATTGAATGTTTTGTGATTGTTTTCATGTAGCTAATATTTTTTTCAGAAACACATAGTTAAATTTTTTGTGATTCTGTCAGTTTGCTTCTCACTTAACTGAACTGCTATCATTGAGTCATTTTTATTGAGTACTTCTGCTAGCAGAGGATTACAAGAAATGGTCAAATTATATAAAGAGAAAATGTTGAGTATAAAATTAACTTCTGTATGTTTGACTTAATTTTTTTTTTAATGTAGATTGCTGTTCTTGTTCATTCTCATGTGCACATTCATTTTCTCACTGTGGATATTTGGAGACATTAAGAGTTAATAACTTAAATCTTAACTCCTCCTCACTCCATGAATACAGACAACGCTTACTTAAATATTGCTTTATGATAACTTTTTTTCTGCTCTTAATCTTTTTCAGGTTATGGCACAGGCTCAAGGTTTTGGGAGAAGATACCTTAAAGCCTTCTTTAAAGGTTTCTTTGTTGCTGTTCCTGTAACTGTGACCTTCCTAGATAGAGTTGCCTGTGTAGCAAGAGTGGAAGGAGCATCAATGCAGGTATTGTTGGAAATGTTTACTGTCTGTCTGGAAATTATAAACTGACCGTCCACTGACAGTAGATTTCTTTGCATATTGCTTTCTCAATTGTTGTCAAACTGTAATTACAGTAGAGAATTGTTTAGTTTCTACTTTGTTACACAAACACTTTTATAATGTGAAAACATTTTGGGAATAAAACTTCCCAAAATTCAGTGTCAGTAAAAGCAAAATAAATAGATAGTGGTAAAGAAAACATTTTTTAATATCTTCCTAGTCATATAGAAATCAAGATTTCTTTTTTTGAGCATTACTCTTTGTCTCGATGAACTACCTTGATAACTTACAAAGAGGCTTTATTTCTTTTTAGTTGTTGTGTTATAATAATTTAAAAAAAAATAGTTCTGGCCATAGTTGATCTTACTATTGAACAAAAATGGTACCATCTCAGTGAAGAATATTGCAAATGGCATGAACATAGGTGATAATTGTAGGCTTTTCAGAGAAGAAATATCAGTTCACTATTTTTACTTTGCTTATACTGAATGCTTATACATCAGTGTAAATGAATAAATAGAAACATGCATTGTCACATTTAGAAGATAAATATTGATGATAATGACTAATTTGTTTCTTCTGTTAATAGAACTTGAAAAATACATGTTGTAATGTAGTTAGCTGATCTTTGTACCTTGTTTTTTAAGTTATATGCAATGAATATTGTTTTGCATAACTACTGATACTGTAATTTATTTCTATTATTACATTATAATTAATGTTAATTACATAACATTACAACTAGTAGAAACTAAGGATTTGTTTAGCAGATGCTAAGCCTTTTTTTTCTGATTTTCTTGATAAACTCAAAACCTTAAAGTCAGGTTTAATAACAATTCAGAACAGTTGCTGGAGTTTGAAATGTGTAGCATTCACTCAGAGAAACTTTGTCTAGGACTTGGGGTTGCTCATGTGTGTTTAATGCCATAGAAAAGCATGGAGTGGGCATAGAACCTTTTGTAGCAGTTGGTAGTCTGGTGTTCAGCTTCTGTCAAGAAACCCCAGGTAGTCTAGAAGGTAGTCTAGATCAAAGTAAAATCATCATAGTCCAGTAATTCTACAGTCTAAGAACAGAAGTAAGGTGTAACATGCATCATGCTTTCCCTTTTCATAAGTGTTACCTGTTTATCAATGATTACCAGTCAAATGTAGGAGAATCTCAGGAGAGCTTATAGACGCAGAGCCAGAAATTTGCTTTAGAAAGGAGAAGAGGAATAGAAAACCAAGAAAAACAGTTTCATATTCATTTTTCAATTGCCTTTCATTGTTTTTTCTGTCTCTGACATAATATTCTATTTTCTATCCATTCTTGTTGAGTTGGTTTTAACTCAATAGCTGGAAAGATATTTTCAAGATTTCTCTAGTCCAAAAGTTTATTGAGTGACTCTGATGGAGATCTCAGTTTTATGTTCCCTTTGAAGCCAAAGTTTGAAATGCTAGAGGGTCCTCTGGTATTGCTCTGGAGTGTTGTTTCCATGCTCACGTGGAAGAGCATGTGGTTAACTGTTCTTTATCCATAAAAGATGTGAAAAACACTGCAGTTATTTGCTTATCCAACTTAAAAAAGGATAAACAGTCTTCCCGATGGCTGAATCGGGCATTCAGAGGGTGATTAAAATCTAAGCTCTTCCTTTGATATATCTTGACTAAACATTTCCTCTGTTGATTGAAGTATGGCTAATATAGAATATTACCAATTTTAATGAATTTTCAGTCTAAAGAATTCCCTCTCATTTTATTCTGGACTGCAGCACTGAATTAGAAGTTTATTTTAAACTAAGATGCTTCTTTGTCCGTGGATATTTTCCATTTTAAAAAAAAAAAAAGCAACACCCATCCTAGTGCTTTTAATAAAATGCTAATTTCCTTGCCAAGATTTATTAGACATGTAAGTAAGTCTGACAGGGATATAATTATAAGGAACATAACCCTCTTTTGCAGAATTGCTTGAAGGAGTACGTCATCACTTTGGAATTCTGTCTATTTACTGTGTTCTCTGAAGAGTGATCTATATTGAATGTGTCTGAAAGCTATGAGTGTGAGGGAGAGTGAAGCCCAGTCAGCATGTAGTCATAAATCCATCAAATGCATGCTTTTAATGATATTGTATTGTCTCAATGTGAAGATATTGTGGTATGATTTCCAATAATTTGATTTGTAATAGTCCTCTAAAATGTCTAGCTGGCTTTGTGTGCTTATCATTGTGGCTCCTGCTGAGTCTGAAATTAAAAGCTGTGATAAGAAGCAAGGAATAAATCTCTCTTTCTTTCACTCTGTCCTCTTTCTGAAGCAGCCATATTGCTGCTTCATAGCAATAGGTGGTGGTACTTCTTGACACCTTGGCAAGCATTCTGCGTAAAGCTTCTATTGGAAGTATATATGTTTTATGATTTATTCCCAGACATTTAAGATGAACCAGGCATTTCATTTTCTCAAGCTGATTCTGTTGTTCTGAAGTGCTTTTAGGCACCTGACATAATTCTATCACTTGAGTGGACTTAACTGTATATGAGCATTAATTCTAATGTATAGGGAAAAACAGTGATTGAAGCTTGTAATTTTCAACATTTTTAATTGCTTTATTGCCTTCTATTTTCTTTCCAAAATTGCTGGTTTTCTTTTAATTCTCACTTGAGATGTTTTTGGTTGCTTAGAATTTTGCAGCTTGATGTGCTCATCTAGCTCTTTTTTAATAGTGGGTTTCAAGTGAATTCGAGTGAATTACAGCACTGAATTTAAGTGACACAAATAACTGTATTATGATTTGTTAATTTGATGTTGTGGATTTTTTGGGATTATTTTTGTAATGCTGAATGTGCAGTTCAAGATTTTTGTCATTATATGAATATCCTTCCTTCATATCCATTTATGCCTTTTTGTCCTAAGTTTCATCACTTCTCTGGTTATTACAAGCTCTTCATTTATAATGATATGGAAAAAGGAAACCCTTATTGATGTATGAATTCCCAAATTTGTTAAATGAAATGGGCTGTTTTCAAGTGAGATGAAAAATGGTGGCCTATGTGCAACTTTCTATATATACATGTTGTGTCACAAAAATTTCAGACCCAAGAATTATAGCAAGTAGTCTGACCAGTGATCTCTATCAAAGCACGCGTGTTTCAGCAGCAAATGTTATTGAATATTCTGTTCTTCCATTATGTATAATAGCAGCTGTAATTATTCTGTTGCAGTTTCTCCTAACTTTATTATTAGGATTACTGTACCTAAGCCTGTGAGCTTATGTGAATATTCTTTCTGTTCCCTAGGCTAAAAGCAAGTAAGTTGTGACCTTGTAATCACTAGTAGCATAACAACTATCAAGTTAATCATTATTTATTGTAAAAGGGCATGCTTTTACCCTGTTACTTACAGAACCTCGTGTCCTATGAGGCTTCATTGTATGGCTGGGGATCTTGATTTGCATGCTTTTAGCATTAGATTAGCTGGTAATTGGGAAGAGTGAATGTTTTGTGACTTCTGCACCATAGTTCTAAATTAAGACCTATGTGTCTCATTTGTAGCTCCTACGCCAAGAACTTGGGTAAACATTTTCTAATGCTTTGAGCTATGGAAAAAAAGCAGCCCCTCTGTTATTTCATTTCTTATAAAAGTAAAGAACCCTAGTGAGCCTATTGATTACTTCTTCAGAAGTTGTATTTTTGTTTTGCTAGACCTTAGTAAATAAATATTACAGAATGTTATCTCTCACACTTCATATTTACATTAGGAGAGAAATACTGGAGAGTGTAAATGAAAAGTGAAAGTTGTCTCTTAGTTTTCCTTTCATACCTTCATCTACTAAAATAGTGTTTCTGTATTGTGATGATTTCATTTTGAATAGGTCAGTATTGTTTTGTAGGAAAGAAAACAAATTACTCTGCATTGTCATATTTCTCTCAAACATAGTTCCAATAAGTAAGGAATGGGATATCCACTCTGTAAGTCAAAACCATGAACAATATATTGTTAAAAATAGGAAGCAATATGACCTTATATTTAGAGTGCTTTGAATTAAAAAGATGATGCAATTCACATTTGAACTGCGAAACGTTTCCTTTGTTTAAATACAGAAAACAGCACAAGTCAGTTGACATACCACTGCTATATGAAATAGCAATACTGTAATTTTGTGTTCCTCTGTAAGATGAAGTTGATATAACTACTTGAAAGGATTTATAAACTCATGCAAATCTTTGCTATGTATCAGCTGTAAAAAACGTTATATTTTGGAGCAAGTTGTTTAAAATTTCCATTTCCTTTGACATTCTCTCTCAGCCCTTTAAGGTAAATACTGTGCGTACCAAAGAGTTTATTTTATGGGAATATAGCACATGTATAATTCCCACTCTCTTAGATTAGCCTCTGCCTAACTTTTGATACCATTAGTAACTTATGGACCACGTGTGCCTTCCATTGGTGAAGTGCGATTGTGAATTGTTTGTGAGTTTGTATGCAAAAGTACTTTTATTTCATGAAAGATGGTATAAAAGTGGAAAATAATTTTGGAAAGTCATGATTGTAATAATAATAACCCAGTATCTGCTTGTGGTTATCATTTGCCTGTCTTTCTCTTGCAATGGATAGATTCAACTAAATATAATAATGGAGAATGTTGATGTCCTTGCAGTTTAGATTTGTAGTATTTTTCTGTGGATGTGGATATGAACTGCTCTGATCCACAGACTTAACTCAACTAGAAACTTGCCCTACAGTCCACAGGTGAAGACATAACTAATCTTCTTTATGACTTAACTGAAGATATTGTGTCATTTCCCTTCCACTCCTGGCAAATTTGTGCTTTTGATCCTCATGATACATAGTGTTTGTGTGTATTACAGGCACATTTACTTTTTTGTTATTTATTAAAATCCATTTTTCACATATTCCATTTGAAATACGTCTTTATCAACATATCTGTCTAGCAAAAAAAAAAAAAAAATAGAAAACAGAAACTGTTGGTAGAAAGAGAAATCAACACTTTTGAATAGCTTAAAAATAAATGCTAAGTATCCATCTTGGTTTGGAAGCACAGTTTTATTCAACACTGTGTTGACATCAGTTAATTTCAGTTCTGCACCCTGGTTAGTTTGCTCATTGAAAGTAAAGTCAGTCTGGGAGAGGAGTCTCAGAAGTCAGTGCCTTGTGGCACAGGTAGAGGAACATTTTATACTGTAAGGTGAACATTGAAAACCTCATTTTCAAAAAAATGCAATTTTGGCAAATATTGTTGCTTTCCTGTCAGTGAATGAGGGGATGTGTAGTTGCAGTTTTCTTACCAGATTTGGTGGTACATGGGATTATAATGTACTTTATTAAGTATTTCATCTAATTGTGGAGTCTAAATTAGAGATCATCATCTGGCCAGTGTGTACCATGATTTTATTTGAAAAGTCTGAAAAATCTGATTGAGATATTGGCAACAAAACGAGTCTGGTTAACTCTTATATACTTTCTGTCTAGTAATTGGAACACTTGAAATAATCCCTTCAAAACTGATGAAGACAGTATGGCTACTTCCTTACTCTACAGTTTTTGATGAGTTAACTCAGAACCAGAGTTAAGGAAATACAGTGGTTTTATACTGCAGCACACAATTTTTTTTTTTTTTTTAATGGTTCTGAATATCTTCTAATACTCTGTGCTAACTACTAATTACTTATTCAGTTGGTTTTTGTTCTTGAGGTTAGTCAATAGTTGTATTTCTGTATATGTTTGTGTGGAAGTTCTCAATTCTGTTATAGAAGGCCCACATTTACTGACAGTGTTAGTATATGCTATAGGTATTTTTTGTTTCCTTTGCAAAGAGCATGGAGATTAATGTTGCTACAACTACATATTTCATTTTTTGGTGCATTTTGCTTGTATGAGCACTAATATGCCTACAGAAAGTTTCTATTTCCTGGTAGTTTGTGCTCTTAGTTTTCCTTTGTAATCTTTTAAATCATAGACAGTGAAGGCAAACACTACTTTTCATGAAGTGTGTCATAAGCATACGTCCTGTGTCATTTAATTTGCATGCAGCAATTTATTGAAAGATGTGGACTTCTGTTTACCATAAGTTTATGACATTCAACATAGCATTTAGTAAAGAAATGTGTTTACTATAATAAAACACATTCTTGATCCTTTTAAAGTAATTGGGCATATTTTTACTAATTTTTATAGCTTCAGGATTTGACCCTTTGATACAATGTGAATTAGATGCAGAATTTATACAGGCATTGCAGACCTAAAGCTGTTCTTTTCCTCCTTCTAAGCCTTCCTTGAATCCTGGGGGAAGACAAGCATCTGATGTAGTGCTCTTGAACCACTGGAGCATTCGAAATTATGATGTGCAACGTGGGGACATCGTGTCATTGGTGTAAGTAATCTTGCATACATTTCAATACATTTTCATATAAATATTGAACAATTTGTATTTAATATTTTATCTCTGACATACTGTGGGTATATGTATGAGCAAGGAACGTCCTTCTTGAATAATATGTTGTTATTCCTATAATGATTTTGCAAAAGTCAGGAGATAGTCAAAGAATGCATTATTTAAAATAATTTTTTACTTAAAAGGAGTGCAGTCTAAAATACTGTGTGATACAGGAGACCTGTATACAGAAACTGCTAAGAAAAAAGAACTGTCATGCTAGAGGAAAAAATTGAGAAAACATGGCTAAATGGAATATACTTTTTAGGTTATTTGGCCGTGTGCTCATACTTGTGAGAAAAATAGTGTTTTCTTACCAGTTAACACTAAGTATCTTTTTTTTTTTTCCCCTGGAGAAATCTTGCTACTGAACCAAATTTTAAAAGAAGATCATGATAATTCAACCTTCTTAATAAAGGACAATGTAGCAAAAAAACCAAACAAAAACTAAACTGTAATGTGGAGGTCTGTGTATCAGACCAAAAGGTGGCAGTGTTTCACTGTTGAAAATATGCAAGGCTAACAGGACAGAAAGTCCATTTCAGCCTTAATGTAATATAGAAATAGAGTGTCAAAGTGTGAATTACTAACACAGTGATATAATACTCATAGTGCATACTTGAATCATTTAAGCTTAAAGTTTTGAATTTTGTAATGCACGCTATGTAGTGTGCAGCAGAATGATTGCCTTTGAAAGCTATATTATCTGACTTCCTTTTTGTCAGATATCTATTCTAATTGTCTAATTTTTTTTTCTACCTCTTCACTGTACTGTTATTTCATGTAACAGTTTTACTGTTAGTTCTTAAAGCAAGAGCTCATGTAGTGGGTTCTTTTTATTTTTAAGAAACTTAATGTTTATTTTATATTCTTTCTTATTGCATGGCATGTAAGAGTCTCTTAAATAATCTAGCTACAAATAAAAACCCCACAAACTCATATTTTCAGCACCTATTACAAAGGAACTCCAGTTTGAAGTCAGTGACTGCTTGTAAAATTTGATTTTGTCTCTTTGTGTGCTCCCCTGCCCAAATCATGCTCTAGTAACTTTTTAATACAGTGGATATACTTAGTTGATAATAAACTGACTGAACAGAAGATCATCTTGTTGTTTAATCAGAAAACAGAATGAAGAGTTTCATGCTTGTGGTACCATCCAAACCAGCTGCATTGGTTGCTTTCATTTTCCTCCATGTTCAGACACAATGAGCATTATTTTAGATACTGTGTTGTTTTTTCTCCTTTTTTTATGTTTTGAAAGGCTCACCTACTGTTGGTGGAGCTCAAATACACCCGTGTAGAAGAAGTTGCATTGGTATTTGTGTGTTGTACTTAAGTTTTTCTTAATAATTTATGAAGTATCCTGAATAATTGAACTATGGAATTCATAAAACACTCTAAGAACAATACAAAGGAAGTTAAATAATGCAGTAATAATATATTGAATATTTTTTCCTCTGAACTGAAGGGTACTTTATATCTCAGTAACAACTTTTAGAATGATTAATATAGGTTTGTTAGACACAGCTTTGGCCTGCCAGTTGATTTTAAAACTTATTGTAATTTAAAGGTTTTCACTGTGTTGCAAAGACTTCTTCCAGTGCTTAAAAGGGGGCCTACAAGGAAGCTGGAGAAGGGCTCTTTATCGGAGATTGTAATGGCAGGACAAAGGGTAACAGCTTTAAACTTAGAAGAGGGAAAATTCAGATTACATATAAGGAAGAAATTCTTTCCTCACAGAATGGTGAGGCACTGGCACAGGTTGCCCAGAGAACCTGTGGATGCCCTGTGCCTGGAAGTGTTCAGGGCCATATGGGCAGCCTGACAAGTTGGGTGGCAGCCCTGCCCATAGCAGGGGGGTTGGAACTAGATCTCTTTCAAGCCAAGCCATTCTGTGATTCTTTGACTTTGAAGGATGAAGTATCTGCATGTGTTTGTTTACCTACGTGAGTTGTTTGAACTACATGAGGCTTTTATTAACAAGTTTTAAATATATTAAGCTAAAATGTTAAACGTTAATATTTTTACCCGTTTCATTTGGATTGTTTACTTACAATTTCAATAGCACCATGCTGAATAGGTATGCTGTAAGTACCTATACTCAAGAGTTTTCCTTAGTGATCCTCATATAATGGATTTGGCAGATCTTGGCAAGACAGGAAGAGGGAAGTCAAATTTTACAGTGATATGATGCTGCTTTTTTTGCTCCTGTCAGAAATTCAGATGAGAAGGTGGTGGTGTGATGGAAATAAGCAGATGGATATGTAAACCTACTTGACTGCTTGTAATTTATCATGTCTTTTCTTTGAAAGATGTTATGGTAGGATGGTCTTTTACAGGACAAGAGCTGAGGTTGAATTTCCATGCTGACAGCTTGACCAGGTCTATCTAAGTTGTTCTTCATACTGTCAGAAATAATGTGTCATTTTGAGTAGGTGCTATTTTTATAGCAGACTATTTTTAAAACAGACTGTTGAGATCCCAACCCAGTGAAGTCCAGTGTTAGTAGATGGCCAAAAGCCATCTCTCTTTGCAAAGAGATGAGTTAATCTTGGTGGCCATGGATGACCCAAGAAAGAGTGTCATTGATTATGTCTGTGATTATGGTTGTGATACTGATTGGAAATCCTAAGTGTTTCCTCCATTGTCTAATCAAGATAAACATGTATTTCAGATATTTGCTGACGTGAATTACAAGTGAACACACTGTCCCCAAGTACCTTATGCCTACCTTAGGAGTTAAATTATGACTACATCTTTATGAAAATGTATGATGTATCAAAGTCATATCCCTGACTTTATATCTCAGCTGACATGATGTAGCTGTAGCTGTGCTTCACAACTATAGCTGTGCGATGACATTGTGTGCATGCATGTGCATGTAGCTGCTTTTAGACACAGTGATTAGCATGGCATTTAGTCCTTAAAATTATAAAATCAGAGTCAGATAAAACCAGTGGAGAGAACAAGTTGGTTGAAAAGGATGATTTATGGACTTGCAGTTTAATATTTTACAAATGTCTATGTTCCATCCCAACTTTTTAGAAGCTGTTTTATGTTAACATTTTTAGCTTGAATCGTGCTTATTGATACTGGAAGTAAGAGACCTCAGTGTTGTGTAATTTTGAATTCAGAATTTTAAAGTGATTCAAAACTGAGGGAAATGAATGTCACCATCCTTAATTTAATCACTTGCTTTAATACTTAACATTAGTATGTTACTGAGAGTTAAAAGTATGTTATTTTCTTTGTGTTGGCAATTTGTTTACTTGTCTTCAAATCTTGATTGGAGAATGTCACATGGCACATGGATTTATCTTTAAAAGTTAAATTAATGCATATTTTTGCCAGACAGACCTTGATCTTTGAGTACCTTTTGTGGTGAAATAAGCATTTTGTTTTGCAGTAGCTATGCTGAGGTAGATCCCAACAGATTGTTGAACTTCATCAGATATTGCAGAGTGAGTTATAAGTTTGCAGATGTTTTAGTCCTGAAAATGAGTGCCAACTGGATTGTAGTTGTATCAGTCTGCATCACAATGTGGGCTGCCGAAGCAGGTCCTGGGCATGTGTGCTGCAACTACAGTTCCTAATGCTAATGGAGATCATATTCTTCTATTATATATTAATGGATGTTTTTGCCAACTAACCTACAGATAGTTTGATTTCTCCAGTTTACAAAGGCAGACGTTGAAAAAAGATGCTGCCATGGAAGGATTTGTAGCTCTGCAATTCTTTTTACTTGTTGCTACTGAAAACCTTGTATCTTGAGTGTAAAATCGTTCTGTTTTTATTCCAAAATTCCCAGCTTAATATAGAAAGAAGTTCTTGCAACGTGGAATACTGCAAAATTAGTGTTGCATATTTAAAAAAAAAAAAAAAAATGTTAACTCAGAGATTTCAAATGTTTTTTTCCCTTAAGCAAAAGCTTGGATTTGGTTAATAGGTTCTTAACAAAGAAGTAGGTTCAATGACTGCGGTATAGAAAGGATTGTTAGATTTTGGATGATGAAATTTCAAAGTTGCATGTATTTGCAGATAGTAATTTTAACCTTTGGAAACTATACTACTTCTCTACCTTTTACAAGGTGTGACTTAGAGCAGAAACATGATTGGTAGATTGCCAGGTATCTGTCCATTTCTAATTTAAAAAGTATGTTTATATGTTACAAAAATAACTATGCTAATGTGATCCAAAAAAGTTTGAGGAGCAATGCACTTTGTTCTCTGCACTCTGAATGCTGGAATGTTTTTGAGTGCTTTTAAAATGCTTCTAAACTTTTGAACTATAACAATGAACTAGAAAAAGACTGTATTTAAAAAGCATACTGTTAGGGACAGCAGTAATAATAAGGAATAAATGTATATTTTGTCAGTTTCTTGTAAATTCTCAAAAATGTAATTGCTTTAAAGAAAAAATCAAAGTTTGATGTGGAAAAATTTTTAGTGTTTAAAAAAAAAATCTCAATTCGTATCTGCTATCGCGATGAAGAATATGGATTAGCTTCTGTAACTGCTTCCACTGACTATAAGATTACTTGCAGGCTTTTTGGTAAAGTCCCTTACTTTTGATAATTACTAAGTATTTTTTGTGTCAGATTATATGTGTGTTTGTACTTTGAAAAATCCAGTGCACATCAACATTCCAGAGGAAGAATCGAAGTACTACATGTGAAATTGTCTCTGATATCTGTTCAGAAATGGAAACTGGAGAATGCAGTTACGATGATTATTTTATGAGATCATTCCATAAGTTTATTCAGATTTGTTTGAATGGAAAGAATCTACCTCTTGAAGGAATGTGGACCTGTTCATATGATAGAAACAAAGGGTTCTCAAAGGGTGTAAAATCAATTCGTACTGTAAGTCCTAGCTAATAGTAATTTCATTAATAACAATAGCCTGGTAAAATAAAGATTACTAAGAATGTATGTATTGAA